AAGATTTTTCTCTGCTCTAAGCAGTGACAGGGCTTTGCAGCCAAACAGCCCAGCTCAGCTGTCATCATGAAAAGTAGCTTCCTTGCACAATGCCTGACATTTTGTCTTCCTTTGCTTGTCCCTAGCTCCCCAAGCAACAGATTACGTGTTTTTTTCCAGATCCCAAGAATTAGTGGTGGCCCAAAGCCCACGCTCTTATTCCCATCCCTCATTTTAGGAAAGATATCTTTCAAGAGGAATGGAATAAAATGTGCCTGTGTGACCTTTTGGCAGATTAGAAAACAGGCTTTTCCATATGTTGCAACAAAGGAGGCACTTTAAGCTTGATGAAGCTTTAGTTGTATGTTTTTAGTGCCTTCGAACAAAAGGGGCTAGCCACGTGCCATGGTGGAGGGACACATGCGAGATGGGGCACGTTGGATTTGGGTTGCAGTTGTCATTCTCTAAGGGTCTAATACAGCTGCCTTGGGGTAAACGGAAAAGTTCGCTCACTGGGAGTTGGATCGGGACCTAAATGAAGCTGTTACTTTATTCTGGACAAACTTGTATTGGCAAATGTGTGATGCTTCTTGCATTTCAGACCCAGAGGCCTTTCCCATTTCATGACCTGGTCCTACACCAAAGCCTGGCTGTTCACTACATTACATTTTCAAGTGCTTTGCCCTGTATGTTACTAAATGTCCCAAGTGATGGCGCTTCCAGCCTTTCAGGTGGAAGATTGTTCCACAGCCCCATAGACCTACTGTCAAGAAGCTTCCTTCTAACTTATTATTAATTATGTGGTGCTGAATCCTTTCCTGTTGTTCCTAATTACACCCTTTGTACCACCTTAAATAATTTCTTTCCAGTCCTGTTGATAACATATTTTGAAATGTAATTAGCCTGTCCTCACCTTTACTTAAAAGCTTACCACAGCTAAACTGCATATAAGGTGCACTATTTTTTCAAAAGCCATCTGTCCTCTCTCTCTTTCTTTAATATGTGCCTTCAGTTAGTCAATGCTCTCCTGAAGGCCTGGACAGATGAAACAGCTATGATAATGAACAGTGGAGTGAAGGGGAAGCCTTACTGTGGTTCAGCTGAATCCACTGTAAGTGTTTCATCAGTTTGATTTATCCCGTGGTAAGTAGAAATGGAACTGCAGTAATTCACCACTTGTTTCATTCAGTGGTAGACCACTGCAGTTGAGCTTTACTTTCTGCAGGATAGGAGCAGGCAGACGTAACAGTCACAGTGGATCAGCTCACACTGGTTTCCACCGTGCTATAAGTCTTCATCTGTTCACACCCTGGACTCCAAACAATATCCAAAAACGGTTGACCCCAAGCAAATTTGTTTCCTCTGTCCTTTTTAGGAAGGGGGAGGGAGAGGGAATGTCTGAAAATTAGACCTTCCTTTTCCTTTGCTATTTTTCAGACCCTTGAATTCAAAGCCTACCTTTCTGTTGCAATCAAGCACTCAGCATGGGTTTTGCTTTACCTTCTTTTTTTTTTTTAAATTAAACTTCCTTTAGATTAAAGCTAATGTAATGGTTTGAAACTGTCCATATTCCTCACCAAAGCATTAGAAAATACAGTCATTTCCCTTAGTTTCTTATAAGCAGCCAAAATTACACTTTATTGATTGAAGGGCAAATTAAGGTTAAGTTATTTGCTGTCCTCTGTGCAATATATTAAATCCAGGCCTTCCTGCCCAACTGTTGCCTTGAAGACAGCCAGTGAAAAGGGAGCCCATTGTCCTCTGTTCTGCACTGTAATTTGTGCCTCGTACATGCTTCAATCTAAAGCTGTTTGCTGGTAAAACCGCTAGTCAAGATGCATTTTCTGCTGAAAACCAAACAAGAAGCTTCATGCAGCTGAAAGCCGTTTTAGGCAAGACATTTTATTTCAAAGGGCACAGTGCCGTGGACTTGCAAATGAGGAAAATCACTTGGCATTGAAGTTGAAGCCTGAATCTTAGAGGTGCAGAGCACACCCACAGCCTGTTAAACTGATCAGGAGGCAGAAATGCTCAGCCCCATTGCAGATTAACCTACATGCGGAGGTTTGTCCCTAAATCATTTAGGCAGATTGCAAGTTGGATATATGCAAATAAAGGGGATAGCTGGTCATTTATAGCCTGAGTCTGTTGCTTTCTTTAGCACTGTAGAAGCACATGACAGTGATTGATTTATCAGTGCACTAACATGCTTTACCATTCATTCTCCTATTTTATGTGCAGGAAAGAAGAATGGAGATTTGGACAGAAACTTTGATACACTTGATTTGCCCAAACGGTCTGAAACGGCTAAAGGTAACGTGCAGATTTGTGCATATGCTTTTGAAAATAAATAAGTGGGGAGATAGGGATTCTGAAAGAGACTGCAAAATGAACTACGCCCTGTACAACTGCCTTCATTTCATGTTCGGCTAATCATAATAATAGATGAACGTCAGTGTGCTGCTTGTCTTCCAATGTGCAGCCCCCAGGGGATGATCCTATTGATTAAGCTGGCCAGAGGAGATAATGGAAGCCTGTCAGACACAGTTTTGGATTGAAGTGTTTCTGTCACAGAGAAAAAAAAATGGATCAGCTCGTAAAGCATAATTTGTAGATTCCCCACACTAGAAACTCTCAGAGGGCTTTATGTAAAGCAGGAGGTGAGGAATTTTTTTGTTCTGTTCTTTCTGTTTCTATGCGAGATCTTCTGCCCTTTCCTTACAACTGCCTACCTCTGGAAGCACTGAGGTTCCTCTCTGTGTGCACGTAAGGTTGTTTGGGGAGGGTGGGCTGGATTTGCATCTTCCACTGCTAGTCAACTGTCTCCTGAATACAGTAATTTCTCTGGCTGCAGTCAGCAGGGCCTGTGACTTTCCACAACTTCTATAGGCCTGGAGGTCCTCAGAGAGATTCTTTTGTACTGTGTATTTCAACTCTTGGCAGAAGTGAAATATCTTCAGAAACAACATACACTTTCCACCTGCTGTGAATAGCGCTGTTTCAGCAGCAGCGTAGGCTGTGATTTGGGGAGCTCCTCAGATTTTTGCTGCAGCATACAATCCTGTGCAAGCCTCAAGCTTTTCTTTAAAGTAAAAGTTGGTGTTTTGGTAGCAAAGCTCCAGCCATTTCCATGGAAACTGATTTAATGCCATCCTGATATCCCATCCTAACAGGAAACTTTCTTCTGTAGACACCCTTCACCTTAATGAGCTGTGACTGCCACAAGCTAGTTGGGTCTAAACGAAAACACAAATATACTCCAACAGTTTTCTCTCATTTCCTTTCAAAACGTAAGGCAGTGAAATGAAAAAAAAGCCACTTATATATCATACACCAAATAGCCCAGTGGCTAGCTTCTTAGCTAAAATCCTTCCCAGCTCTACCACAGGTCTGTTAAGTGACTTTAGGCAAGATTATTCATTTCTCTGTGCCTCCCTTTCCTTAGCTGTAAATTAAGGATGATAGCACTGATTGCCTTTGCAAAGTGTCTTGCAATGTGCTGATGAAGACTACTAGCTGATTGTGATATTGCCAATGATGGTGTCCTATTTAGTGACACTCTCAAAACAATCGACTTGTAAATTCATGGGCAGTGAGGCCGAGTTATTTGATTATGAACTATACCCACTCTACAGACAGGTTTGCTGCATATGCAGCTTACTAGTCTTGTGCCTGAACACCTGTTTTGATCTTGTGATGCCAATCATACATGATTCATGAAGACTTCTTCTAAAAGCCTCCCTGGCCTTCATGATTCAGAGCTGGGCCACTGCCTGGTTGCAAAGTAACAAGGCCTTTTAAGGAAACAAAATTTAGGCTTGATCTTAAAAAATGAGCCTTCTTTGACAACTGGTCTCGGGTAACTACTTGTTAGAGGATTGAGAAATCCCAAGTAAAAAAGGAAAGGAAAACAAATTTAGCATGTATGGTAGGAGGCAGTCTTTAATTTCCTTCTAAATGTGGTTGAGATGTGGATGCCAAACATGAGAAACAGATACAAAAGCTCTCCACAGAGAAAGAGATCTTGCATAACCATTTTACTTTTTTAAATAAGCTTGGGTAGGACTTTGCTGACACAAAAGTTTTGTGACTTCGCCTGGTCTTGCCTACGCAGCTCGTTACCATATTGGATTATAATTGCTGAAATCACATGCTGTTTGAGAGGCTTCCTTTGAAAATTTTCAAGAACCCAGATTTAATGTAAATGGATGGGTGTTAGTCTGACAATAACATCACATGCTAGATTAGGTCAAAAGATTAATCCTATCAGCATTTTGATAGATGAATGATGCGTTTTTGGGAAAGAAGGGGCATGAAAAACCATTTACTGGTGCATTTTAGGGGAAAAACAATTAACTTTTATGATTTTTGCTTGTTTGTTTTCTACAAGAAATTTCCTGCCCAGCAGCTAGTTAACATGATAGTTCCTGGGTACTAAAGGTTCTTACAAGCATGCTCCTATTTTGAATTGTTCAACAAGATAAGCAAAAGAAAATTGCAGTTTCAAAACAGTTAAGAGCTTGGGTCAGACCTATGCCATCAGAACATAATTGGCTCTGATGAGATCAGCTCTCAGCTGAGGCAGAACCTCGTTTCAAAGATTGGAAAATCATGCAAGTTTTAATGATCAAATGCAGTTGGTTTGAGTGACACAATGAAGTGCTATTTCAAAAATCAACAATTATAGATTAATCTCTTTCATGTATTATTAAAGCCATATTAAAGCGAGTTTTCAGCTGGAATCTTTATGCATGCAAATGAAACTACAGTAGCTAATAAGAATTGTTCATGCAGAGCGCCAAATGAACATTGCGGTAGTTAACAGAACATTGGGAGGCAGTGTTATTAGGTTTTCTGTAATCTTAAAGTCAACTTCCTTGATGTTAATCTGTAAATTTAAGAATGAGGTCTAAGAACTGCTGGTCACAGTTCCCATATAAACTTCTCTCATATGTGATGATCATTGAGTCCAGTTGATCCAAAGTTTATGATGGCTTGAAGAAGTTACTAACTAGGAAAGGAGTAGTTCTATTTCTCAGTACCTCTTGAAAGCTAAATTGTTGTCTGCAGGACTTTAATCACAAAAGTTTGTACCTAATGAACAGCTGGACATGTTTAAATAGAAACAATGATATAGTTTAGCACCTTTATTCAGCCTTGGGTCAAGATAACCTATAAACAAGTTACTGTCTTGAAAAGAGCAAAGGAAGTTCTGGGTTATTGCCTGGTAATATGCTAGTACATTCTGCCCCAGGACACCTCATTTCATTGCTGTATGGAAGGGAGCTAGTGATTTAACACAGCCTTTTAAGGAAATTATCCAGAGGTTTAAAAATGGTGAGCTGCTTTTCTCCAATAGCTGTCAGTTTTAAACGCAGATTAGGCTGGCCTGTATAGATAGTCTGAACAGCCTTGAAATAATTTCTGAGTCTTTAACACCTTTCCCTGCCAAGGTTTCTGGCTAGGAACCCCTTCCAAATTAAGACTGCTTATCTGTGGATAAATTGGTTAACATGGTGTGGGAGCTGTGCACATGTTTTCATAAGCTATCCCACCTAATAGAAATATAATCCCCTGGAAGCATCCAGCATGTTCTGCTTAGAGGGCAGAAGAGGGCTGTTTATGTGTGTCTTCCCTTGCAAAAGGATGTAGTCCATCTTTCTGGCTGGTAGGGCATGGGCATGAGGTTTTTGATAGCTGGAAACAATGAGAACTGGCTTGAGTGCTATGGGACTAATGGGAAAACAGGAGTGTTAAGCGGGGTCAGATCTGGAGTAAAATGCCCATCTCTACTAGAGTGCAAGAAGAATAACATTGCTGAAATCCCCAATCAGGACCAAGTAAGTTGGTGAAAATAGTAGGTTCTGTAATGCATCTCTTTTGCAGTGAACTGATTTCTCCTGTGCAAAAAAAGGGGAAGCAAGCATTGCGTGCAGCACAGTGGGTTTGTCTACACAAGATGCTTTACTGCTCAGTAGGTTTACTGTACACATACTCCCAGTGAAGGCTTACTGTGCAGTATTTTACTGTGTACTAAGCCTTTATAGCATTAATAGCACATATAGATGTGTCCAGTGTCTTTGTTTCAGAGTCTTTATTTCTGAGTAGGAGATGAGAAGCGAGACCAGCATTCATGAGGGGAAAATCAGGATTAAATCTGTTCAGTGAAGGTTATAACTGAAGTGAGAATCAGAGTTCAAATAGCAGATGGGCAAGATAACTTATGCTTTTCAAGAAGCTTACTGATATGCCTAAGTCCTCTAAATATGGTTTAAAGGTTGTGACATTTACGGATCCTACAGCAGTTAAGGTATTAGACTGTCCGCCTTTGTTCATCAGTGCTTGGCTAGGGAGCAGAGGGGGAGGCGTTCTTTGCGATAGTTAAGTGTTTCTGACTTGCTTTTATATGTAGTCAGACCTGGTTGGTCCTACTTAAACTGGAAAACTAAAATGTATTTGGATTAAACAAGCCCTCAGCTTCTACTGCATGGTTGTATAGTGGCAGGCATAAAATCAGTCTCAGATCCTCAAGACAGACCCAGGTTTGGGTTTTGATTCAACCCGTGATGCATTTGGACAAAAGGACTTTGATTCAAGTTATTTCTACATGATACATGGGTTAACTTGTCCTGTTGGTAGGCCCTTTTAAATGTGTCCATAACATTATTATTATTAAGGCTCAAGGGTCACACTCAAAGAGTGGTGGTGGATGGGTCGGTGTCAACCTGGAAAGATGTGGGCAGTGGAGTCCCTCAGGGCTCAGTTCTGGGGCCGGTGCTGTTCAACATCTTCATCAGTGATCTGGATGAGGGGGTGGGAAGCACCCTGTCCAAATTCTCAGATGACAACAATATGGGGTGAAGCCAACACCCTGGAGAGGAAGAACCAGATCCAGGCCGACCTAGACTGGCTGGGGAAGTGGGCAGAGAGCAACAGGATGCAATTCAATAAGGACAAGTGCAAGGTGCTGAATCTAGGGAGGAAGAACTGCCATCATACCTACAGGTTGGGGGGCAACCTTCTCAGCTCCACTGAGGCAGGAAGAGATCTTGGAGTCACTGTTGACTACAGGATGAACATGACGTCAATGTGATGAAGCAATCAGAACCAGTTGCATCTCGTCGTGCTTCCATAGGTGCTTCACAAACAGGTCCAGGAAAGTGATTCTCCCCATGTATGCGGCACTGGTCAGACTGCAGCTGGAGTACTGTGTCCAGTTCTGGATGCGGACAACCTGGACAGGGTCAAAAGAAGAGCCACTTGTCTGATTGGAGACCTGCAGGGAAGGCCCTACAAAGAAAGGCCAAGGGACC